GACTCGCCGGAGCTGCCCGTTGTCGGCATGGCTGCTTCGTCTGCTGCTGCAACACCAGCAGCAGCACCCGCAGCAGCACCCGCAGCAGCAGCAGCAGCAGCCCACCAAGCAGACGGCGCCAACGAGGCTGACTCGTCGGTGTCCCTAGCCTGCAATTCAGCAGCAGCAGCAGCAGCAGCAGCAGACGCCGCAGGAGCTGCTGCTGCAGCCGCTGCACCCTCCAAAGAAGCAGCAGCAAAAGACGACAGCTCCAAGCTGGCAGCAGAAAGTGCAGCACCAGCTTGGGGGCCCCCCCAACCGAACTCGGGGGCCCCCCAAATGGGCCTGGGGGCCCCCCCGACCCCCTTGGGGGCTCCCCAGACCCCCATTGGGGCCCCCTTGGGGGCCCCCATGGGGGCCCCCCAGCTGCAGTTGGGGGGCCCCCAGACCCACATGGGGGGCCCCCCTTTGCAAATGGATTCGGAAGAAGAATGGGAGAAGACAGATCTCACAATTGCAGAGGGCGCCAGAGTGCTGCTAGAGGCCTACGTGCTTTACAGGTGACTTTTGCTGCGGCGTTTGCTGCGGCGTTTGCTGCTGCTTGCTGCGGTGTTTGCTGTGTGCTTGCTGCTGCGAGCTGCTGCTTTGCTGCTGCTGCTGCCCTTGCTGCTGCTGCTGCCCTTGCTGCTGCTGCTGTGTGCGCGCGCGGCGGCCTCTGCGCAGCAGCGAGGCGCGTCTCGAGGCCCCGCGTTAGCTCGCGACGCCGCGTCTGCTGCTGCTGCTGCTGCTGCTGCTGCTGCAGGCCGGACGTGGGCTACGTGCGGGGGATGGACTGTCTGGTGTCTCTGCTGCTGTGCTTCCTGCCGCTGGACCTGGCATTTGTTGCGCTGGCCAATTTGCTGCCAGCTTTCCACTTGTTGGACTTCTTTTGTCCTGCTTTGCCGAGCAATCGGAGGTCCATTGCGCTGAAGTTTGACTTTTTCGAAAGCATGCTGCGGCTGCGGCTGCCGCACCTGTACAGACACCTCAAGGGCCTGCAAGTCATCCCCGACCTTTACCTCATTCGCTGGTTGGAAACTCTTTTCTGCAGAGCCCTGCCCTTCGCCACGCTCTGCCGCACCTGGGACGGGCTGCTGCTCATGGGAGAGGTCAGCAGCAGCAGCAGCAGCAGCAGCAGCAGCAGCAGCAGCGGGGGGGGGGGGCGG